TGTAGATGCACAGTAAGTGTGCGCGCTGACAATAGTAGGCACCGTCCTTAAACTAGGAAAATAAGGCTTTGAGTCTGTCCCGTTAGTGAACAAATGCCATGTTTAATTGATAAAGTTGGCGACCTTCAATTCCCCATGGTACGTTGTCAGTTTTACGTCATTTTTACTTGCCAGATTTTTACTTGAGACTTAATAATGCTAGTGCTTTAAACGATTATAGAATTCGAAAGCATAAAAAGGTTCGTTCGAGATTAAAGTTTGGTTTGTGTTATCGTATGAATTATGCTGTATTGAAAAAATAATAAACTGCCGGCCATATAGTGTTTCGAAATTCTATATGAAATTACCAGATGGCCGGCAGTTCCATTTTTTCAAGAGATTTTCCTCTTCTAAATATAATTTGACTGATTTGGGTAGACAGGAATCGGTCACTCAAAAATAGAAAAGTTTCACCAATATATATAACATTATTTTAAAAATCAAAAAAGAAAAACGGGGAAAAGGAGCAAAAGCGTGAGTAGGTATGATGTTTGGGTCACCCATCCAAGTGCTAACCCTCCTCAGCCGAGCTTGACTCAGTATCTTGAACGACAACGATTTATCCACTGGACCACGGTTCCAGGTGAATCAGCATAACAATAGCCGTGAAAACAATGCACCGAATAGACTAGACTTTTTAACATTTGCTTTTCAACCGATTCCGTGCGTGGTAGAGATGCAAGGGATTAGCCGATATGGTCTGGGGGCCGGCTGGTCTCTCCCCTGATGCTTCGGCTAGAACATTTTCTTGCGTAATTCGTACACCCAAGGGCAGAAGGATTTAATCGCCGTCAGGTCCGAAGTCCATAAGACGCCCCAGCTCTGCGGATGTCTCGGGGGTATGGCAAAGTGGAATCGTATTTTTGAATTTCTTTTGGTGGGTTCCAATCCCATCTTATCCACATTATTTTTTTTTTTTTAATTTATTTTTTCTTACTTTTAAATCCTCCCCAATGAAGCAATTTTTTAAATTGAAAAACGGTTTATTCCTAGTCAGTTTCAGTTGCCAGCTAGATAAAAGCGGAGGTTTCGATCAGGGACACTGAATGGTAATCAAAATACCAACTGTCAAAGTCCATTTTTCTCATACTCTGATTGGGCGAGAGGGTATCACGTGAACGTGAACAAGTTTCCAGGCAACGCCTCTCAGCGGGCAACATTATGCTGTTGGCCGGTAATAACAATACCTGAAGTGATTTCCTCGGAAATGTAAGTTTTTCTAAGTCTTTAAAAATCAAAAAATCAAATAACTGCTGCGTGTTCTCGAACCTCGTGAACCTCGGGAAAGCAGTGGGTTTTGTAGTCCCTCGGCTTCGCCTCGTGAAACATCGCCGTCTCGAGACCACAAAACACACTGTTTCTCTTATGAATTTGTATAATAGGAGGCGACCAGAGCAAAAGTCGCGCTTGAAAGAGCAATTTTTTAATATGAAAATTTTTTTGAAAAAAGTCTTAAGTCTTGAGCACTTGTTACGATGAGCGAATAATTTTCTATCTCATTAAACTCAGAATGAACTGATAACAAGACTCTTCGATTCAAGAACATTTAATGTTATCACAATTTCTTGACCACTTATTCGTACCCCAAAAGCAAAGTATTATGGGAAATATGAAAATGGCACATGCACGAAGAAGTATTCAATGTCGTGGCACTTACCTCGACCATATTGTGTACAGTAATGATGAAAAGGTAAATTATACACCGTGAAAAGATGAAAAAACTTACTGACGTTTCGGACGCTAGTCCTTCGTCGGAGTAAAAGAGAAAGAAGTGGTAGAAAGGAGTATATATATGATAGAATAAGACAAAAGAAACCAATGAGAGCAAGGTAGGCAAGGAAACAAAAACAAACAATCAAAAGACAAAAGAAACGGTTAGTTGAAAATAAAGCGTTCATTAATCCTGTTGGGACTAAGAGTGCCCAATAGGTGAATAAGCCGCATTTCTTTGGTCTTGCGACAATCACACTAGCTTTTAGGTAGTTATATATTCATATTGTGTACACTTTTGCCCTCATTGTTATGTGTACATTCCAAGTGAGGGGGTTAAATCTGACAAAGCGTACGTACGTACGTACGCGGACCACAGTATCGCGATCTGAATTCCCAACAAATACCTAAAAAATGTTTTAAGAAGACGATATGGTTGAAATGCTCTTTTTGCTCCTAGTTATCTTCAAATACAATCAATAAGGCCCCGTTTCCAGTAACAGTCATGTGATTATTTCCTGAAAATTAAAAGAATAGAAGCTGAGACCAAAAATTTGCTTTTCTACTATTATCTATTAATAACATGCCTTTATTTGATCTTGAATTATATCTTGCGGGTTCCCTGATACTTATTAATTACTTATTTACACACAATCATAGCAATCTTAAATTCAATGCGAAATTTTACTGGGAGCCAATGAAGCCTTATAAGTGCTGGAGTAATGTGGTCATATTTCGATACATTGCAAACAAGGCGAGCTGCTGCATTCTGCAGGCGCTGTAGCTTAGTTAAATAGACAGAAGGACATTTTCATTAACAAGTGTACTAAAACAGACTGAATCTTTTTGTTTGCTTGTTTTTTTTCTTTTTTTCTTTTTTTGTTTTTGTTTTTTGTTTTGTTTTGATTGCTAATTATGGATGCATTCCTGCTAAAATCAGCAGTAAATAACTTAGTGGCGTTGGCCTAGTTTCTCATAGAGCTACATGAATCCCACTTTGTTTCTGTTTCAAGATTATACCAAGAAGTTACAAACTGTACAGGCACTGTAATAATTCCTCACTGAATACATATTACCACGTCGCAGTAGTTAAGTTATGGGCAAGTTCCGCTGACCACCGTCCCCCAGGGTTAAACAACAAAAGAGGCCATTAACTTGACTTGGATAACAAAAGGAATTAAAGAGAGAAATGGATAAAACGAGGCGCAAATTTTGTGAACATCGGGGAAAAAAGTTTCAAAACGATAGCTCTTCATTCCCCCAGAGGTTTGTCACGCTGAATTGTGAAAACATTGTCACACCACGAATAAGGTCTATTGCAACCTAACAATTCTTATGATACCCCAATTTTAATATTTCCCTCAAGTTTGCTTGTCAGAACACGTCACGACCAACGGCCATGTTCACAAAACGCATCCCACACGGAAAGGAGTGAGCATGGGAGGTTAGTCATCAGCGACACAATCGAGGCATTCGGTCTGCTGGTCATAGCAAGGGTTTAATTATCTACGGTCTAGGGGCCGACTAACCTCTCCCTTAGGCTTCGGCCAAGCTTCCTGATCAGTCTGTAATTTCCCCGGGATAGCGGTGTTGGGGCCGAAATCTCCAGCGTAGCCGTAAGTCCATACGACGGTTCAGCATTCGATGTCTGGAAGTATGGTCCTGGTTAATCAATCACAAAAAATGTACTCCGCAAAGCTAGTTCTTGTGGTAAAACTTTCGCTAATGCTCTTCAGTTATGAAATCTCAGTTGCTCGTCGATTTTGTGGAGAATATTACTTAACACCGTTAATATTATCGTCGACATGGTGCTCAGTGAAGGTCCATGGAATTTCAGTAAATAGGTCTGCAATCAAAGAACACAGTAGTTTTGGGAATTCAAAAATGATCTTTTTTTTTTGAGGGCTGTAAATTTTGTACTTTTGCTATATTCCTCGTTCATCATTGACCTTGCGCGGGTAGATGTGATTCCGAGTCTGGGAACAGAACCCGAGAACCCAGCCGTGAGAGTGCACAACCTCTACGCCATTGATGCTCCGGGGTCCTCCATGGACTCGTATAGATGCAGCGAGAGGCATCTTCACATTATTGCTTTCAATTCAGTTTCACCCCGTTGAGCTGCGCTGCACTTGTGGTGGTATTGGCGATAAACAATGACATGCCTTTTAGTTTTTAAAATATTTATTTCTTCACATAGGCAGAATTCACAAAAAATCATGAAAACGTAGTATTTAATCTAAAATCTAAATCTATATTTGTCTGTTACTAATAATAGTAGTAATAATACTAAAAGTAGATAGTAATAGTACTTTTAGCAGCATCACAGACTGTGGTTTTCGCGGATATTCTGCGAACTCGTAACCGTGGTTGAGAGCTGCACGCCGAAATTTGATTTTTCGCTGCCGCCAATCAAAAATAACCAGTCTGCACCTCTTATATTTTGACTGCACTGACGGCAATTAATAAGGAATTTCATAAAAGGCATTGAAATGTCGGAGTGCGCAGAATATCGAAAAACCACAGTAGCTTTTCATGCGCTTATCAGTTGTTTGTGCTCGAGCATAAGAGGGATTTTACTTGGCCCTTGAAATACTAGTAAGCATAATAAAAAGCTGTTATATCACAGCGTGGGACAACCACAACAGTAGCTGGTCTCCAACTAAGAGAAAGCCCAATAATCGAATTCGAATTTAGAAGTTGATTTTTGAGGATATGGTGGAAAACGCTCGAAGCACAGGAGAGAACCAGCGAACGATTCTCCTCACTTACGACACCAAGACGGGCAGGACTCTAAACCATTGGTGAGATAGTTGTAGACACTAATACATACCATGATTGTTTCTTGTTTTACATGTCTATTGTTTTACTTTGGTTGTCAGACACTAGTTATACAACTTTGTTTCATGGGCCAAAAAAGAACCACTCTAGTCCACAAATAGTCTAGTTATTAGCCGTTCAAAGGTTGAGGAAAAAACTGTGTCGAGCTGGCATTGCATTGCATTGTGGGCCTGATTTAGGGGACAAAATATGCGCTATCTTGGAAATATGCCAAAAAAGAAGTGAAGTAGAAAATCATCTTGTGAAAACACCTTAAGTAAATAAATGATCTTATTCAAATAGTTGAAAGGTTGAATAGGAAAAATGGCAAAACAGAGTCGTGAACATTTGCAAAACTGAGGTATCCTGATATTCCACCAGATAACGTTATAATCCACAAGATATTCTACCAGATAACGTTATAATCCACAAGATATTCTACCAGATAACATTATAATCCACACGATATTCTACCAGATAACGTTATAAACCACAAGATATTCTACCAGATAACGTTGAAATATATTTCAAAAAAAAGTTGCATGCAAATAAGCGCTTGAAAAAAGTGACCTGCACATTAGTGGGCATAAGTTTTATATCTTTATTCCAAGTGCGTGTATTATTATTTATTGGTTGGTCAATTTTGGCAGGCTTCATGACTCCTCACTTTTGCATTGACAACATTTCTTCGTAATTATTTCAAATTGTTTGACCTTAGTTTAGGTATGAATAATGTTTACAAAGCCATAATCGTTAGTATTACCTCCAACAGCACCAGTACATGATATACCACCACAAAACGAACCTCCCCCTCCCCCTGCGTACATTTCCTTATTGCCACTACCTCCCCCTGAATAACCTCCGCCGCCACCTGATGCTCCGCTGTCTTCTGCACCTCCCCCACCACCACCAAATCCGCCTACCGCTCCCGGGGGAGGCCCACCATTGTTTCCACTATTCATGCCCCCTGCGCTTCCTCCAATCCAGTTATTCAATCGCGATCCTCCTGTTTCGCCATGTTTAGAGGTCAAGCGTGCGCACCCTTTACCGTTCCAGCCTGCCCCTACGCCCCCATGATGACTAGCACCGGCAGTGTTACAATGCCCCGGCCCACCATCCTTCCCACCTACATTTACAGAATCAAAGACACCTTCCTTTGAGCATGGTGACCCTGCAGTGGTTATCTGACCGTCTATACCAGGACTGTGATGAGCTGCACCCCCGCCTCCCCCTGCCGCAAGAAGAAGTTTATTTGTCGACGTATAAACAAAGCTCCCACCTCCACCTCCAGTACCTGCATTGTCCTCAACCGAGAGTCCTAAAGATGCTGCTGTTTGTTTAGTGGATTGCCCTCCTTTGACCTCAACTGCATCCCCGCCTCGGTGTCCAACGACTATCTTTAGCACTGTACCAGCGGCAAGAAAGAAGACGCCTTTCATAGTGGCCCCCTTTCCACCGAGATATGTTCCAGGAAAGGAGCCATAGTTGCATGATAAGGTACCTCCACGTGCTCCTGCAGCTTCTATGAAATAATAGCCGGCTTGTTGCACCACAAACTTCTGGATCGGACCCGTCCTACCCGTATGACCTTGGTTAGTGAAACTCTTTTTCTGTAATAGCAAATAAATATCATTTAACGTTAATTAATGAAAATTATGAAGAAGCCAAAAAAGAAAAGAAATGAAAAGAAAGGAAGAAAGAAAAATAAAAAGAAAGAAAGAACGTTAGAAAAAAAGTAAGGAAAGAACTAAAATAACTGAAATATCTAAAACAAAACAAAACAAAACACCACACCACACCCGAGAGACGAGACGAGACGAGACGAGACGAGACGAGACGAGACGAGACGAGAC